TCTCTCTCTCTCTCTCTCTCTCACTCACTCACTCACTCCTAACCTATCTATCGGACAGTTATTTAATACCATTTCATTATATCTGATGTTAGAAAGCAAATTGAGGTTTATATATAGGCTAAAAATTTAAATATTTGCCATTGCTTTCGAGTAAAGTATAAAGGATTTTTAGCCTATATATAAACCTCAATTTGCTTTCTAACATCAGATATGCAGTACCGATCCATCAATATATAAGGTATATATAGGGGCCATAGGTGTGGACCATTTGGCCATTTGGACCGTCGTATACATCCAAAACCACCCGTCCTATGACATCGGACTCATGAAACTCAACCGACCCGTAAGTTCTCTATTCGACGGTTGGGTCTATACTATAAACACGGCGTGTCTGCCGGTGCCCAACATTATCAATACCGGCGACGAAGAGGCACTGGCAGCCGGGTTTGGGGCCACAGATATCATGGCCACGACACAATCAAATGTATTACTTCACATACCGGTGACTATCAAACCGGAGGCCGAGTGCCTGAAGTATGTTAACCCTAATGTGAACCCTCACCGACCGGAGACTATTTGCACCGGTATTAGCACTACCAAGATCTGTATGGTATGTATCACCTTTTATAATAAATCTAGACTTCCCTGTAATAAACGCCTGTCCACTGATATTTTTAAGGGCGACTCCGGCGGTCCGTTAATCCAATTCTCCGGCAATCGGGCGGTCATTATAGGCGTGGCCAGTGATACGGCATCTCTAATAGCGACCCAACCCTGTGGGTCGGGAACCAGTTATTTCGTGCGGGTCTCCCAGTGTATGGACTGGATTCAGAGCGTCATAGCGCCCACACCTACGCCCCCACCTGCGCCCCCAGCAACCCTACATCCCATAGTTACACATAAACCTAAAATGCCTGCACCTAAGTCTAGGGTCGTACCAACCGGCGCCCCCTTTCATCCAAATGAATTCAAAACCACTAAAAGTAATTCAAACGCTTTTTCCTATGAAATGGTTTTATTCATCAATTTTATGGCTTTTATTATCACTATATTTGTGTAGATATTGCGAACAATTTTCAAATTCTCATTAAATTTATTTACAGTAATTATATTTGTTTACTTGTTAGGTATACATTTTAGTTTAAATGAGCAAGCATGTTCAGTGATTTGTAAACAAATAATTCACAATTTATCTATTTGTTACTTTTATTAGATATAAATCATTAATACCAAAAACAACCTATCCGGTAACTGACCTTGATAATCAAGTAGTATTTAGTTAAATATATTGGGAATAATTCCCATTTCTTTATGTGCATGTATTGCCTCGCTATCAGTCCAGTTAATACGGGGTCCCATATTAAACGCTGACTTATCATATGACCAAGTTAATTTTGGTTCATACCATTGCGGCCCATATTCTAGTAGTAATTATTTTATTTATATATTATTTTTAAAACCACTATTTATATGCTAGTTATTTACATACCGGCGGTAATCACATCTACCGGATTACAGGGCACCAGTACTTTGAGTCCAACCAATTCAGCGGAACATAGGGTAAAGTTAGGGTATATGTACCGGAAGTATGCCCTTTCCTCAGCGATATGTCCCGTATATGTCAGGTTTGGTCCGTCTCTATACATGAAGAATAAGTCGAGTCTTACGTGAGATTCCGTATAAAAAGCGAATTGCAATCCATTGTCAATATAGCCGTAAATGTTGGCTAATTTGAGGACAACGTCGTTATGAATGAATTTGTCGATGAGCTGAGGGCTGGCATACGTAGCCCACGTCCCGGTGTCCACGTCTGTGGTGTAGGGAATGACACCACACTGTCGATACCAACCCAATAGAGTGCCACTCGATATGAAAAACGGTATAAAGAGTTTCGATGTAAACGTTTTCAACGCTATCATCGCTTCCCTCACTTTACGGTTCATTGACTCTGATTTCGTGAAGTTTTTGGACATATTTATGGCTAAACTATAGTCACATTCAATGAATTTCGATGACTTGTATTGCGATATAAAGTGAACGACTCTATCGGGTATTAAAAGCGTTATATTTGTCTTAGTTTTCAGTTTCTCTAAACCAAACGAATCGAAAGCCGACTCATGTTTGCCGTAATGAATATCTTTTGGCACAAAATTGTGATAACTTTCGCTTCGATGGACAGGTATGTCTCCCACCCATAGAAAGTCACTGCGTTTATGAAACACCGATATTTGTATGCATTCCTTATTTCTCGCGTAAAACATATGCAAAAAAGTGTTGTCTATTTGCGCGAAATCTTTGTCAAAACGCCTTTGACTGCCGTCTAAGCCATCGATTAACCGAAACTCAAACACCAATTCAGTCAACACTTGACTCAACTCTTTCTGATCATTAAAATTAATTAATTATTATTTTATTTACAATTTTAGGCAATAAATCACAAAACTTTCAAAAACTTACGACAACTCCTTGAAAATTATCTGTAAAGACACCAAATGATAGGCAATACTCTTTGCCACCGCTTATGTCATTAGCCACGGGGTCTGGCAATAAATCCCTGTCCACTAATACCTGCCGGTGCTTATCATCGATGAGTTGATAGAGTACTATCGGGTCTATTAGAAATACTTCGAGACCTAGCTTATTGATTATATCTAAAAACTCTAAGACATGTCTATTTAGCGATTCAATTCTGGATACGTTAAACTCGATGACCGGTTCCAGGAAGTGATGTCTTTTGAATCGCTATTAAAATACCAAAAAATCATTTAATAATAAATATTTAATTCAAAAATACTATACATTAATAATATTATCATATTTCCATACATTATGTAATCTGTAGTAAATGCGATGAAAAAACAATTGATCAGTGTACTCATATACATATAATGTACAGAATATTCCGATAAGTAGTTCGCAAGCAAGGTACTTTGGTTGAAAACATAGCATTTTAATT